CCTCCGTCGCTCCGGGTGAAAACTTGATCTGCGGATCGGACGGTGGCGGCTATCCGTGGTCGTACCCTTCTGGGAGGCACCGTCTTGGAGTCCTTGCTTTGTCATGGCCCATCTCATCCCCTCGGGGGCTCCAAGTGGTTCTTCGTAGCTCATTTTAAGTTTGCTTGGTTGTGTCCGAGTGGTGTGATGGTGCTCGGCACCTTTGTATCTAGCCTTAGGTGTTCGGTGTGTGCCGTGGTGGCGTGTGTGTGTTCGGCTTGCTCAGATGTATGTGATGATGTTTGCTTTATAATATAAAGCGGGGGGAAACCCTTTTTCGGTAATAAACTAACACCAAAATGAAAAATAAAAACAATATCGGGAATGATCAAACTAGATTTCTGAAGAAGTAGTGCTGAGCAGAAAAGGATGAAGCCCCTGATAGAAGCAGCGATCGTTGAATTATGCAGCAACACCACCACCTTGTCAGATGGGAAGATGGTGATTGCGGACTTGGGCTGCTCCTCTGCCCAAACGCGGTAGCACTGATGTCAATCGCCCTCGAGGCCACCCACCACCACATTCTTCAGTTGCGGCAGCCACCTCCGGAAGTCTCTGTACTCCTCAGTGATCTCCCATACAATGACTTCAACGCGGTGGTGAAAAGCCTGGCTGCATTCCGGCAAGTCGGCTCCCTAGTGGCTCGGTGCATATTTTCCGGCAAGCCTGAGCCTGTTGTTGTACCAGGGTCATTCTATGAGAGGCTCTTCCCTAGTGGCTCGGTGCATATTTTCTGTTCATCCAACAGCTTTCATTGGCTCTCAAAGGTATCAACTTGACACCACTCCAGTAGCATTTGTCCCTTCACCATCTGATCTTTCAGAGGTACAGGCTCAAGATTTAAGGATAAACCAAATCCCGGTGTATGACATCAATGGAAATGTCAGGTGTGAAAGACTCCCAGTGGTCGCTGGAGCTTATGCACGACAATTCAGGAAAGATTTCACACTTTTCCTGCTGCTGAGAGCCAAAGAATTGGTTCCATAAGGTCGGATGGTTGTTTCCCTCCCAGGGAGGCGCTCTGATGAGCCTCTTTGTACATACCGGTGCATGGACCTTCTGATGAAGAGCTGAGAGGGATCATCCAAGAAGAGGGCTCCTTCTCAATCACAGAGATGTGGGTGCACGACCCTACAAGCGGCCTCCTCACCCTAAACAGGATGGTGAATAGTCTGAGAGTTGCATTCGAACAAATAATAGTCCAGCATTTTGGCTTGTCCGGAGAGGTCATGGATGAATTTGCGAGGACCAGCGAGAAGCACGTGAGCCTGCTTGGCAGCTCACAAGTCAAGCATACCAAAAACCCGAGCTGGTTGTATCGCTCACCAAGGCATGACAGGACAACTGGCGTGTTACTGCTGCTAGCCTGTATCTCACACCAATTTCGTGATATGTCTGTAAAATTCAACGTCAAACTTAATTGGATCTGTGAGATTCGAAAATGGCAAATATCTGCTGAAATTGGATTCTGAGACATATTTTTTCATTGTTTCAGCAAAGTATCTATCTCACAGCGCAATTGAGTGACACTGAAGCTCTACAGAGGTACAAGATATTGCCTTCTGTTCCATGATAATTTTGTAAGAATATAAACAAAACTCCTATGATATATTATAGGATATTATTTCATTATATTTCCTTTCGACGCATCATGAATTGAAGACCGTATACGTGCTAGTTTGTTATTCGGCTTCTTGATGTACGTGCATTTCTTCTGCACTTGCTTGTTTCCATTGGCAAATGCATTGTATAGCAGCATAAAGCACAAAAAAACTCGGAAGGCACAATCATGTACTCCTACACCAATGAATTTATCTCCAAAAGAAAGGTTGCATTTGTGCTGCTCTAAATTATCTGAAATGCTTGCTTTTTTTTCATTGGATCGCATGCTAACAGTTTAACCAGATGAAAATAATAAGTGTGCTAGTCTAAAACAAATAATTGTCTTTACTAGTGACAGATTGTCAGTATTATATCCTGATCCTGTTACCAAATAGGTGGTGGATATTCAAGGACACGTTGAAACAATATGCTAACAACTCTGGCGTTAAACGGTTTGGATTATTTATCCAGTGCATTAATTCATTCATATGCCTGGCCACCAATTATTTGGCTGCTTGATGTATATGCATTAGTTCCGTAGTTGCTTGTGAAGAATCCAATTCCAGAAGGTATGTCTGCATAGCACTAAACAAAAACTAAGTGAACGGTGGGTGTAAATAAAGAACTCTACATATTTACTACTTACTACACAACAAAATGTTGCATCGGTGCTGCTCTAAAATGTCTACTTCATTGGATTCCATTTTGATAATTTAACCAGATACAAATGACAAGCCTGCCAATTAAAAAAATGCCGCGTCTGCTAGTGACAGGCTGTTTGTACTATATGCTGATCAGAATTTGACCAACCATTCATGTCTTTCCATCATCCTTTTGAGCTTTTAAAAATCCAACCTTTCAACTCAAGCGGTTTAAGTGTTGATTGAACCCATTGCCTTCCCAATCTAGTTCTTGCAGATTAAGGACTCTAGCCTAGCTTTGTTCCAAGCAAAGTCATGGCCTCCAAGCAGATGGTGCATATGAATCAAGGACAAGGGGAAACAAGCTATGCTCGCAATTCCGGTATTCAGGTACCTTCTCTTATATCGATTAATTCATGATCTATGCTAACCTGTTCTTTGACTCTTGCCTTCTCAATACATCCTTTCATTACTGAGATTGAAACGAATTTTTATTGAAGTTAAGAAGCATACCATTTAGCTAAAGGATTAGACAAGATTTTCTGAATAGTTAAAACTCTATTGCAGAATGCTCTGCAGAACAGGCTGAAGCCCCTGATAGAAGCGGCCACCGTTGAGTTATGCAGCAGCACTAACACCTCGTTCCCTGAAAAAATGCTGATCGCGGACTTGGGCTGTTCCTCTGGACCAAACGCGCTAGCACTGGTATCGATTGCCGTCGAGGCCATCCATAGCCACTGCCTTCAGTTACAGCAGCCACCACCGGAAGTGTGCGTGCTCCTCAATGACCTGCCTGACAACGACTTCAACACTGTGGTGAAGAGCCTGGTCATGCTCCATCAAAGCAACAAGCCTGCTGTTGTGACTGTTGGGATCACGCCGGGGTCGTTTTATGAGAGGCTCTTCACTAGTGGCTCCATGCATCTTTTCTGCTTGTCCAACAGCCTGAATTGGCTCTCAAAGGTGCGAGTTTGATACTGCTCGATGGATCGATCCATTTCCATTAACTTTTGATTCTGTAAGCAAAATCTTATCCCTTACAGGTTCCTGAAGATCTAACGAGGAACCGGATTCCGGCTTACGATGTTGATGAGCATGCTAGGAGTGAAAGGCTCCCTATGGTCTTTGAGGCTTATGCACAACAATTCAGGAAATATTTCACACTTTTCTTGGAGTTGAGAGCCAAAGAACTAGTCCCAAGAGGCTGGATGGTTGTGTCCCTTACAGGAAGGCGTTCTGATGACTGCGCTTCGAAATTCTCTCACGTGTGGGAAATCTTTGCTCAGATTCTAAGTGTCATGGCCTCAGAGGTACATTTCTTTACTGTTTTTTCTGTAGTTATTATCTCGGTTTCTACTGAACGCGCCTATTTGAAGTCTCGGTCTCGTGCCATGATTGACAGGGCATGATTGACAAAGTGAAGTATGATTCGTTCTACGTTCCGGTGTATGGACCTTCGGATGAAGAGCTCCGGGAGATCATCCAAGCAGAGGGCTCCTTTTCGATCACTGAGATGCGGGCACACGACTTCACACGCGGTCGGGACGCCGGTCTCATCACTGCAGGCTGGTATGCGAACCAGATGAGAGCCGCGTTTGAGCCGATAGTCGTGCATCATTTCGGAGATGTGATGGATGAATTTGTGAGGACCGCGGAGCGGCGCTGGAGCGTGGAGGGAAGCTTGCAGGAGGAGGTTGCCAGATACCCTCGGGCTCAGCTTGTCGCCTCGCTCACCAAGAAAGCATGATGATCACTTGGCCATATCGCTCGTTTCTAGGGGAAAATGCATGTCAAATTCACCATGTAATTAAAGCACATCCCTTTTGTGTTATGTCTGTTTTCAATAAGATCCGCGATGAGACTGAAGCTGAAGCAATAGTATTCCGATCGATTGACTAGCAACAGCAGCACCCGCCTGCCCACGGAGACGCTTATGCTGGCGTCTCGTGGCCGGCCAGTTTGGGGCGCCCTGGAGCACGATGCAGACAGGGCTCGGACTCGGATCGCCGGCCAAACAGCACGACGCTTCACAGCTTCTCTTCTTCTTGCTGCTATGCGCACAGTATGTACGTTTGTTTCTGGTCGCTTGACACGTTTAGTTGGAGAAGCACGCGCGTACGTGCTCATATGGCAATGAGGAGGAGGAAAAGTCGTATCCATTGTGTTTTCGTTCTAGAAAGGAGTCACTACAGGCTGCAACAAAACTTACCATCCACAGCGTAATGGCAACGAAAATGTGCGAAAAATCAAGGGCGAAATTGCAAGTTCAGATTCATGTTCAACTGCACAATTTTCTCCCGCAAAGGAAAACTGCACCATAAGTCGAAAACTCAACAGCAACAACAGAAACTGCGCGATAACCTGGAACTTTTTTTTTCTGTTTAGTTTCTTTCTCGGGTTTTTTTCTCACCGTTTCTGGTTTTTTCGATGCACCATGCAAGAACCGGGAAGATGATGGAAGGATTCCTCCGCTTCACATGCATTGGTTGGTTGCACGCGTTTGTCACTTGCCACGAAGAAACACTGCATGCAGCAGTACAACGTACGAAATGCCACAGTGGACTAAACGTGCTAAATGCCTTTCGATTTAAATGTGTGGAAGTGGAATAGCCCTGGTAGGTCTTTCCCACTACTAGCACGTTTTTAGCATTGCCTTGCTAATCTGGTTATTGCAGGTTTAAAATCTGGAGGTGAGGTTTAGTCCTGCTCCCACAAGCAATGGCCTCCAAGCAGATGACGCAGATGCTGCATATGAATCAAGGACAAGGGGAAACTAGCTATGCTCGCAACTCTAGTATTCAGGTACCTTCTTCTCATATCTTGATTGTCTCGCAAGTTATGGTTCTACGGACTGGCATTGACAACTGGCATCACGAAACTATCTCATCAACAACTTATATAAAATTTAGATTTTTCTTTCGTCAGTTCATAATTTGGATTATACTATTGGTATTTGAAAGAACAAACCAGAAAGTTAATGTGCATGTTGTTTAGCTAAAATATTCGACTAGATTTTATTAGTAATTTCGGGTGCTTGCATCAATCGATGCAATGACCGAGGATGTCCTTGGTTTCGAGGGAAAAGATTTTCTTAACAAGTGCAAGCAAACTGCAGACAGCTGAGCAGAAGAGGATGAAACCCCTAATTGAAGCAGTCATCGCTGAATTATGCAGTAGCACTAGCACCTTGGTGCCTGGTAAGATGGTGATCGTGGACATGGGCTGCTCCACGGGCCCAAACGCGCTCACACTTGTATCTATTGCCGTCAAGGCGGTCCAAGATCACTGTTTTCAGGTCCAACAACCACCACCGGAAGTGTGTTTGCTCCTGAACGATCTCCCTAACAACGACTTCAACACGGTGGTCAAGAGCCTAGTCATGCTTCGTCAAAGCAATGAGCATGTCGTCGTGACTGGTATCACACCGGGGTCATTTTATGAGCGCCTCTATACTAGTGGCTCTTTACATCTTGTCTGCTCTTCGAACAGTTTGCATTGGCTCTCAAAGGTTTGAGTCTGATACTGCTCGATCGATCAATCCATTACATATTACTAGTCGACTTTGTAAGCAAAAAATCATCTATGCAGGCTCCTGAAGATCTATTCAAGAATCACATCCCAGCATATGACATGGACAAGGATGCTAGGCGTCAAAGACACCGTATAGTGCTTGAGGCTTATGCAAAACAGTTTAGGAAAGATTTCACCAATTTCCTGAAGCTGAGAGCCAAAGAATTGGTCTCAAAAGGCCGAATGGTTGTTTCCCTGGTAGGGAGGCGTTCTGATGTAACCGCCACCAAATTCTCTTATCTTTCAAGAACTATATCTCAGATTCTAAGTGTCATGGTCTCAGAGGTATATTTCTTCATATATTATAATACATATTTTATCTTTTACAATCAAGCGCAAACATTTGATCTCTTTTTTGATGGTATTATTAATAGGGTGTGATCGACAAAGAAACGTTTGATTCTTTTTATGTGCCAGTGTATGAACCTTCTAGTAAAGAGGTGAGAGAGATCATTAAAGAAGAGGGCTCCTTTTCGATCAGGGAGATGCAGGTGCATGACCCTACAACCGATATGAACAATGCTCTCAGCACCCCAAGCAAGTTCGTCAATCTCTTGAGAGCTTTATGTGAGCCAATATTAGTCCAACATTTTGGAGATGTCATGTATGAATTCGTGAGCACCGCGGAGCGTCACTGGAGCATGGAGGGCAACTTGTTAGGTCCTTATGCTATGTTGGCCATATCCCTTGCAAAGGCATGATGGTCAGGTACATCAAGGATACATCCACATTAAGTTACATCATAGTTGATGAGATTGAACTGTAACTTTATTTGAGGCAACAATGTATGGCTACTTCATAATGCAAACTACATCTCGTGGTGTGTTGTGAAGGTATTCATGGATGGACAAAATGAACTATCATTAATCTCTACTATTAAATGAGAGTTAATCATTGTATGCTTTACTTCGCCACCATCCGCTACTCAATCAAATCAAATCATACCAAAACCTAAACTAAATCAAAACTTCCCTTGCCTTCCCCTACTCATACCCGAATCAAATTAAATCTTACCAAAACCTTACATAAAGCAAAACTTACCTTTGCTTTCCTCTACCCATACTCGAATCAACTAAAATCCTACCAAAATTTGGAATATGATGGGTGTAAGATTTATGCCGGACACGATTGATGTTGAACCATTAGAACATGTATGCCCCATTGAAACATACGTGTAATTAGCTAGTACTGATTAGCCGAACATGTTGAGGAAAGCAATAATTTCAAAAAAAATTCCCGCGATCACGCAAGATCTATCTAGGTGATGCATAGCAACGAGAGGGGAGAGTGTGTCCACGTACCCTCGTAGACCGAAAGTGGAAGCATTTCAATAACGCGGTTGATGTAGTCGAACGTCTTCGCGATCCAACAGATCCAAGTACCAAACGTACGGCACCTCCGCGTTCAGCACACGTTCAGCTCGATGACGTCCCTCGTGCTCCTGATCCAGTTGAGGACGAGGGGTAGTTCCGTCAACACGACGGCGTGGCGACGGTGATGATGATGCTACCGGCACAGGGCTTCGCCTAAGCTCTATGATGGTATGATCAAGGTGTGTAACTGTGGAGGGGGGCACCGCACACGGTTGGGAGAGAAACTTGTGTGTCCTAGGGTGCCCTCCTGCCCCCGTATATAAAGGAGCAAGGGGAGGCCGGCCGGCCCTCCTTGGTGCGCCCAAGCAAGGGGAGTCCTACTAGGACTACTAGTCCTAGTAGGATTCCACCAGGAGGGAGAGAGGGGGAAGGAAGGAGAGGGAGAGGGAGAAGGAAAGGGGGGCACCGCCCCCCGTTGAAAGGATCGAGAAGAGGTGTCTAGACGGGGGTGATTAGACCCTCAACAACTAAAGTTGGTAGTTTTTAAGTTTTTCAAGTTGAGGTGATAGATTGACACATTTTCAAGCAAGCATGCAAAGAGTATATGAGCAGCGGAAAGTAAAGCATGCAACTTGCAAGAAAGTTGTAAGTGCATCTAGTTCCACCCCTAGTTGGTTTTGGAGTATTGACGACAAAGTTGGTTGAGGGACTAATGCGTTTGTGAGAATTGCAGGATAACGCAGGAAGTGTCCCTCATTGATTCGGTTTACCTACCGGAGATGACCCCTAAAAATGTATGAAGACATTGAAGACAATGGTGGTGTGTGAAGATATTCACACTGAAGAGTATGACATGAGAAGACATTGAGTGAAGACTACGGAGCGCGAAGACTGAGTTGTTTCGTTGTTTCCTTTTCTTCTTTGTTGAGTCATAGGAACCACCGTACTCTTAAGTGGGGTCCAAGTGAACAAAGTCAGAGTGACTGAAGTGATGCTCAACCCAAATCCTATGTCTTCGAGCAAAGATAATGAGAGCAAATCTTATCCAGAGCTGGATGAGTCAGCTTTGCTTGTAGCCCAAGTAAAGTTGCCGTGTGTGTTTGAAATCTGACGTTGGAACACGTGTCAGTTCCTTAGTGACCCGGGGTCATTTCGGACATATCAGGTCGGGTTGCCTTGTGGCTATAAATAGCCCACCTCCTACACCATAAATTGGTGGCTGCTCAGAGTTAGTTTACGGCTTTTGTCGTTTTGAGAGCAACCCACCTCGAAGCCTTTGAGAGAGAAATCCTTGCGAGGACAAAGCCCAAACACCCAGAGCCAAAGAGTGTTAGGCATCACTGAAGTCTTTTTGTCCGTGTGACTTGAAGACTTATTACACTTGAGGACTGTGTATCCTCCAGCCGGTTAGGCGTCGCGTTCTGAGCATCCAAGAGTCATTGTGGATTGCCGGTGAACGAAGTCTGTGAAGGTTCGGAAGTCTACCTTGAAGACTTACCAGAGTGATTGGGCGAGGACTGTGTGTCCTTAGCTCAAGGGGAATAAGGGGAATAAGGTGAAGACGCGGTCTTCTGAGTTGAATCTCAGCCTCCCTAACCAGACGTACAGTTGTCACAGCAACTGGAACTGGTCCAACAAATCCTGTGTCTTCAACAAGTGACTGGTTCTATCTCTTCCCTCCTTTACTTTGAGTTTGTCTTCGTGAAGTCATTGCTTATTTGTCTTATCTGTTTGACTTCATTGCTTGACTACTATCGTTGATTGGCTTTGTACTATCTTCCATCCTGATCCTTACTACCTAGCTGCTATTAGTCTTTGTACGTTCACATTATTGCATACTTGACTATGGCTTGCTTGTTGTAGTTTATCTTCCACTGCATATCAATTAGATCATTTCTATTGTTTGTCTTCGAAACTTCCACGTTTTGAAGACTTTGATAAAAATCGCCTATTCACCCCCCCTCTAGTCGATAACTAGCACTTTCAATTGGTATCAGAGCAAGGTACTCCCTTGTTCTGTGTGATTTGGTTTAACCACCTGGAGTTTAGCTATGTCGACTGCAGGGATAATCAAAGTCTCCGCTGCTTGCCCCATGTTTGATGGAACTGAATATCCCTACTGGAAGAATAAGATGCGCATGCATCTTGAAGCCATTGATGTCGACCTCTGGTATGTCATCAAGAACGGCGTTCCAAAAACTCGTGAAGGTGTCACCCCTGCTAATGTCAAGAAGTTCATTCAACTGGACTCGACTGCAAAGAACATCATATATGGTCATCTGACCAAAGGACAGTATGGTCGTGTGAGTGCTCTGGAAACGTCAAAGCTAGTCTGGGACTGGCTGTCCAAGGTTAACGAAGGCGTCTCAACTCAGAGAGATCAAAGGATCAGTGTTCTTCGCAACCTCTTCAACCGCTTCAAGAGAAATGACAATGAAAATGTCCAGCTCACGTTTGATTGCCTCACCAATATCACAAATGAGCTTCAGGCTCTCGGCGCCACTGAGATCACTAAGCATGAAATTGTCAAGATGCTGCTGAGATCTCTTGACAGCTCCTTTGACACCCTTGCCCTCATGATACAAGAACGTCCCGACTTCAAGACTCTCGATCCGTCTGATATACTTGAGAGGCTCAACACACATGAGTTCCAGCTTTCTGAGAAAAGAGATATCTATGGCCCCAACTATGGCCGAACTCGTGCTTTGAAGGCAAAAGTTGTTTCCTCATCTAAAGAAGAAGAATCTGACTGTGGTTCTGATGATCCTGAAGACATTGGAAGGGAACTTGCTATGCTCGTGAAGAAGTTCCAGAAATTCACCAAGAAGAAGGGCTTCAGAAAGTCTTCATGATCCAGTTCAAGAAATGATGAAGCTTCCACTCAAGACAACAAGAAGAGAACATGTCCCAAGTGTAAGAAGCCTGGGCACTACATCTCTGAGTGTCCTCAGAGGGACAATGAGAAGAAGAATAAGAAGAGCAAGGAATATGACTCTGATGACAAGAAGAAGAAGAAATCTTCAAAGTCTTCTTCCAAGTCCTCATCAAAGTCTTCATCTCATAAGAAGAGCTCATCTGGCAAGGCTCGTGCTTCTGTTGGCAAGGAAATGGATTCAGAGGAGGAGTCTGCTTCTGAGGAGGCGGAGGTGGAATCTAAAGCTGAGTCCGACTCTGGCGTTGCAAGTCTGGCTCTAGCCACAGCCTACGTTGCCAAGTCCATCTTCAACACTGAAGACAATGACTCCCACACCAACGCTGATGATGACAAGGATGATCCTGCTCCCACCTACTGCTGCATGGCACGCGATGCCAAGGTAAAATCACGCGATGCTTACTGTCAAACATCAAGTGAAGATGACTCTGATTGTGAATCTAAACCCAGCTACAAAACACTTGCTAAAATTGCTACTGAACAACAAAGGGCTATGGAACATACTCAAAAACTGTTAGACAAAAGCGACGACCTGTTGGACGCGGAAATGACACATTCACAGTCCTTAGTTGAAGACATAAAAAATCTTCATGCTAAGTATCAAGAACTTGAAAGTCTTCATGAGACGCTCTCAACCAATTATGAAAAGCTCTCCTATGATTATCTTCAAAGGAAGCAAGAGCTTGAGAAATTGAAATCGACTCATGAAGATCTTCAAAAAGAGAATGAGTCATTTCGCGCTCAACAGATCAGTTCCGCTCAGGATGGATTTGAACCACCATGTTTAAAATGCATTGAGCGTGATAACGCTGCCTCTGTTGCTGAATGTTCCAATGCTGCTACTGTTGCTTTGTCTTCAACTACTGATGTGGAAACTAACCCCTCTACTGAGGATACCACTACTATTGCTGATGAAAATGCTAGGTTGAAGACATTGCTTGAAACATGGATGTATAAAAGTCTGAAAGGGCATCAAACACTTTGTGATGTCCTCAAAAAGCAGATTTTGAACCGAAACCCTAGGAAAGAGGGTGTTGGGTTCGAGAGGAAAATGAATGCTGATGGTTCCTACTAGAAGCCTGAGCAGTATCCCAAAACCACATGGGTTGCTGCAAAGGAACCTTCAGTGGATCCATCCACTTTATCTGGCTTTACCTGTGCTAATCCTATTATCATTGATGAATCCTTTGATGCAAACTATAAACTGTTCAAAAATCAGAATGGTGAAGTGTTTGCCAGGTATATTGGTACTAACTACAGGAATGGACCACCTATGAAGAAGATCTGGGTTCCCAAAAGCTGTCTTAAGAATCTTGTAGTGAATGTCATCATGACACCACCTGGGAAGAAGGCAAACCCTAGACCAAAGGCATCATATGGTCCAACGGCTTCATACGAATACAGGACTCACTTGAGTCACCCTAACACCAATGTTTTGCAGGGAAATCGTACTCAA